GCGATACCGGAGATGTTTGGGTCTATTAAGACCACGTTGATTGAGACCGTCGATGAGCGCTATGTTGCTGTTACTGAGGCTGCTGCTGCCGCAGCCACCGCAACCCTAGCTGCTTCGAGACCACAGGGGGGTGACTCGTTGTTGTTCCGGGAGTTCAACAACACGAAGCCACCAGAGTTTGATGGGACACAGGATCCGATTGCTGCTATGAGATGGATCTCTGACATTGAGGGATGTTTTTACACGTGTTCACGCCCTGAGTACCTGAGAGTTCGGTTTACACTGAACCAGCTTCGCTTGGGAGCGAAGGACTGGTGGAAGTTTGTGACTGCCAGCTTTACTCCTGCAGATCATGCTGCAATGACATGGGAGAGGTTTACATAGCTGTTTCGAAATGAGTATGTTCCCCAGGTGGAGAGGGAACGGTTGGCCCATGAGTTTCTGTTTCTCAAGTAGAAGAGAGAAATTGTGACCGAGATCACGAGGATGTTCCATGAGAGGGCACTCTTTTTCCCTGAGCACGTGTCTACCGAGCAGGCATGTGTGAGCCGATATCTGAGCATACTGAGGAGGGATATACGAGATTTCGTGGTGAACTCGTCATATCGGACATTCGCTGAGCTTCAGACCAATGCCAGGTGCAGGGAGATTGAGCTAGAGTTACAGGCTAGGGGAGGAGGGCGAGTCTCAGGGGAGAGACCAGAGACCAGTACAGTCGCAGCCGGCGACGAAGCGGGCAAAACCCGCTGATACGAGAGTTAAGGGCCAGAAGGGTCGTACTTGTTGCAAGTGCGGCGAGAGTCACGAGGGATTGTGTCGGGCAGGGATTTGCTACAAATGTGGCAAGGAGGGGCACTTGGCGAGGGATTTCCCCAATGGGTTTGCAGTTTTCTTTCACTGCAACCAGACCGGCCATCGGAAGGCCGAGTGCCCTCAGCTCATTCAGGGATCAGCCCAGGGTTCCGCTCCTGCTACTTTGCGAGCTACTAACAGTCGACCAGAGAAGGTCAAGGCACCGAAGGCTCATGGGAGAGCTTTTCAGCTGACAACGGAGGAGGTCTGCGCAGCACCTGATGTCGTGGCTGGTACGTATTTCCTTACTCCTGTTATTTTGAGATTTGTATTGCTTATACCGTGTTGTAAATAGGTACTTTTCTTGTGAGTTCTATATCTGCTTTGGTATTATTTGACTCGGGTGCGAGTCGATCCTTCGTGTCTTTAGCTTTTAGTCATCATATCAGAGTCAGGCGAGAGGTGTTGACTCGACCTCTGAGGGGGTTCTATAGCCGACAAGCATGCGGTTTTTTCCACTGATGTATTCAGAGGATGTGTACTAGAGATTTTTCGTGTTGAGTTTCCGAAAGATCTAGTGCCGATAGCCATGGGTGATGTATGTGTCATAGTGGGCATGGATTGGTTGAGTCGGTTTGGAGCTGTGATCGACTGTGAGCGTCAGATGGTGACCATACGAGACCCTAGTGGGGGAGTACTTACGGTGTATGGCGAGGGTACCTTCAGAGAGGCGACTGTGAGCGTCATCTGGATCAGCTTTCTGCTCTGCTGCCAGAGCGAGACAGAGTCTGCAGCAAGGATGTATGAGCTTTTTGGCGTATGTGATGGATATGCGGGTTGCTTCAGAGAGGCGACTTCTATCTCCGAGGTTCTGATAGTGTGCGAGTTCCCGGATGTTTTCCCTAAGGAGTTTCCGGGTGTGCCTCCCGAGAGGCAAGTAGAGTTTTGAATTTATTTGGTTCCGGGCGCGGCGCCTATTGCCAAAGTACCTTATCGCCTTGCGCCACCAGAGATGCAAGAGTTATCCTCACAGCTCCAGGAGCTGCTGGGGAAAGGTTTCATCAGACCGAGTAGCTCACTGTGGGGAGCACCGCTCCTTTTTGTCAAGAAAAAGGATGGTTCACACCGGATGTGTATTGATTACCGAGAGTTGAACAAGCTGGTGGTCAAGAACCGTTATCCACTTCCGAGGATCGACGATTTGTTTGATCAGTTGCAGGGGGCATCTTGGTTCTCCAAGATTCATTTGAGATCTGGATATCATCATATGAGAGTTTTCGAGGAGGATATCCAGAATACGGCTTTTAGGACTCGTTATGGGCACTACGAGTTTGTGGTCATGCCTTTCGGGCTCACCAACGCACCGGCGGCATTCATGGACCTCATGAACCGGGTGTGCAGGCCTATGTTGGATCGATCGGTGATCATGTTCATCGACGATATTTTGGTGTATTCGAGAACTAGAGAGCAACACGAGGAGCATCTTAGAGAGATTCTTGGAGTATTGAGGTCGGAGAGGCTTTATGCCAAATTCTCCAAGTGTGATTTCTGGTTACGAGAGGTCCAGTTCCTGGGACATCTCGTTAATCAGGATCGGATATTGGTCGACCCGGCCAAGATTGAGGCAGTTATGAGATGGGAGGTACCGAGATCCCCGTCCGAGATCAGGAGTTTTCTGGGTTTGGCCTGTTACTATCGGAGATTTATCAGAGATTTCTCCAAGATTGATGTTCCTCCAATATGCCATGCATGAACGTAAAGCTTGCAGCTTTACGTGATATTCGAGCCTTAGGATGATAGATCTAGAGTTTGGAGTTGTAAATCTGCCTTTAAACGTCTGAATGAGAATATAGACTGAATGGACTCGCCGAGTCAATGAGCTGACTCGACGAACCGGCTAAGGTTTTCCCCGATGAGCCTGGACATGAGTAACCCGACGAGTTGATGAGACAACTCGACGAGTTAGGTTTGGTTTTCGCAACTTTTCTGAAGGAACAAGGGGACTCGACGAGTCACAGAGGTGCACTCGACGAGTCGGGTTAACATGGACTGTTGACTTTAGTTGACTTTAGGGTTTGGTCAAGACAGGGATTATTAAGACCATGGAGGGGTAGAATGGTCTTTTACCCATTCCAAGAGTTAGAGAGAGAATAGCCTTTAGATTATTTAGAGTTGTGATTGGAGTGTTAATTGGAGATAATTATCATATGTGTTAGGAGGAGGCTAGATCGGTGATTCGTGTACGTGTTTCATTTGCTTGCTTACGAGGTGAGTCTTCTCACTATACTTACCTAGAGTGGTAATCTTTGTGTGGCCAGAGGGTCCTATGTGCTTATATTGAGTATTGTGATATCCTGCATTATGTCCTTGTGATTTATGTTGTGTATTATTTTGAGCTTTACTAAGTTAGGACTGGAGGGTCCACCCGAGTTCTGGGACCGGAGGGTCCCACTGAGACACATTGACCGGAGGGTCTTATTGAGTTATAGCCATGAGAGGCTAATGAGATATGTGTGGTATTTTGGGGAACTCACTAAGCTTCGTGCTTAATGTTTTATGTGATATGTGTTTCAGGTACTTCTCAGGATTGCGGGAAGGCGCCGACTTAATTGTACACACACGAGATGGAGTTTATGTTTGTGGATCCTGTATTTTATCAAACAATTTATAAACTTGTGCTTTTGACAATTTGACAATTGTGGTTTTGGAATGTGATAATGAGATTTATGTGGTTTGAAAATGTAAATTTTGTTTCAAAATTTACGGTGTTACAATGTGGGGGGTTGGCTAATGCTCTCGGGATATGCGGCTTCAAAACTCTCTAACAACATAGCAGTGCCTGGATCCCGGGACATCCCATCCAAATCAAACTTTGTCTATTAAAACAAAAAAAGAGTTAGCCAAGTAAAAACCAGTCATAATTAACCATATAAAATATTCTTATATAAATAATTTACCCCTCATTGTTGTTTTACTGTATCTTTTATCGAATGGGAAACTTTTTTCCAAGTCCATTTATCAAAATGGACCATCCGCCAAATTATTTTCCCAACTACGCGTGCAAACATGTCCTTCGGCTCTCCTACGGGATCATATATCATATCCATATGATAGTCCATGTCAATCGGTTTTTCTCTTTTCCTCGGACTCTCCTGTGTGGCACAACTACAAATATAATTAAAAATGATTAGAAACGGTGTTTTATAATAACTGAATAAAAGTAGTAAATAAAAATCCATAATAAGACTTACCATCATGCTCATGATAACCAGCACCTCTACCACCTGGGAAAGGTGATTCCTCAACTCCATCACCCCCATCTCCATGGCCCATAACAACAACGATGGTGTACAAAAACAAGAGTCATATCGACACCAGTTATTGCAAAATTATAAGATATACAAATACAATTTCTATTACAAATACACATAAACTAGGAATCCAAATAAAGTTTCAATTATACATTATACTTTACATAACAAAATGAATTATAGAATCCTAATTTTTATTTTTTTAATTATAGCATTATATGACATTACGATTTATAGCATCCTACATTTTTTTTGTTTTTAATTATAGCATTGTAGTTTTGAGGGTTGCCTAATTAAGTCATAAAAAATTAAGACATCCTACATACATACATTTTTATTGCACACAAATACACATACATCCATCATACCTACACACATATATACAAATACACATATGCATACATTATACACACATAAAATTTTGATTGCATACAAATACATATATACACGATACACATACTTCCATCATACATTTACACATATATACAATACATACAAATACACATATGCATACATTTATACACACACACATGATTGCATACCAAATACACATAAAAATAAACAAAATGCACTCATAAACATATAAACTGTTGGATTAAACAAATTTGCATACCAAATACCTAATACCATATGTTTGCATACCATCAAATTTATGCTATAATCGTTAGATTTCTTATCATAGCCATAAATATGACCAAAATAATTCTATAATTATTTTAGCTCATAAAACTTTGCATACCATATGTTGTAGCTAAAATACATGTTTTCATACCAAATACCATCTATTTTCATACCAAAGAGAATCACTAACCTGAAATCGAAATCAGAAGAACCTGTGGTGGTGTTTTCGCCAGAAAAATCTTCAATGGCGATGGCCTCGCCGGAGCAGTAACAACAATGGTTGTTTGTGGATTTCTTGATCACAAAAAATATCTTAGAATGGACACATTTCATAGGAGAAAAACCGACAGGAGGGACGAGAAATTACTTACCGTCGGCGGTTTTGTGGTCGAAGAGTCGCCGAAAACACACCTAATCGCTGGTAAACACCCCAAAATCGCCGGTATAAAGACCCCGGTGGTGTTCCTGTTGGAAAGAGGTGGTAATCGGTTTGTGAATGACCTTAGGCTTTCCAAAGGGTCGAAGTGGAGTCGTAATCGCCGGAGAAGAGAAGTGGGAGTGATAGTGAGAAAGCAGAACCTCGACAGGGGGATGAAATCGACTTAAGCTATTACCGAGGATGGTAATAGCGGTGACAAGGACCAATAGCGGCGACACTCGATGGTAAATGGAGGGAAGTTTTCGCGGTCAACATTTTTAGGGTATTAGCAAATGTGTCGCCACTATTTATGCCGCCGGTAATAACCTTGTACTATGTGCATCATTTAACCGTTGGATTGGAATTAAGATCGACGGCTGTGGTGAAGCCTGTACATTTGACACAGATCGAGGTTTTTTATCAATATCAGCGAAGATATTAGCGGCGACAAAGACATTACCGGCGACATATTTGAAATGTCGTCGGTAATGCCTTTGTCGTCGCTAATCCTGTCACCGGTATTAAGCACATTTATTGGTGTGAGTGAACAGTCCAAACAAGTTCAATGGTAATATTTGAACAAAAAAAGTAAGGGGCTAAATATGAATAAAACCTAAACTATCTTACCTATACCAACTGGTCATAAGGATATAATGCAATGTTCTAAAAAGTCTGTCATGACTCCAAGGCTTGTAGTTGACGCCATATTTTAACAAAATGTCGTCTTAAATAACACTTGTATACAAAAACAAATAATAATATATATATATATATATATATATATATATACACACACACACACAAACTTCTCATTCTAAATAATGTCTTACAAACGATGTTTTTTAACACTCATCGTAAAAACTTGAGATATGATATTGCTGCTATAACGTCCTGTTTCGAATCGTTTCCCATTGTGGGGTGATGATCAAGGAGTGGGTATTAGCAGACTTAGAACCCTTGAAGAATTGATTTGGGCTCATTTGAAGGTGGATGATGTAGTTTGGACGATCAGGGTATTCGGTTTGTGTTTTGGAGCCCAACGGTATCGGTAAAGGCGTTGGTTCGGGTCTTTTAAGAAATTTGGATTTAATTTATTTGGTTTTCAAACTAAATAAAGTTTATAGAAGTGTAGGTCTTCTCGTTACCTTTCCATGGATATAAAGAACTTCAAAAACGGATAAGGGATGCAAAAGTTATGATCATTTGAATTTAGAAGGGTTTGGGCCAAACCGGGTACGCATGGCGTACACAGAAATTTAGTCGCGGGAGGATTTGGGAACGCCCTGTGTTTGTCAGGCCAGATTAAAACCCTAATTTAGGGTCTTGGGCCCTATTTAAAGACCTTAACGCACCTCCAACCCTCATTTCCTTCAGCCTCCATCCACTCTAACCCTAAGAACGAAACCCAAGCCCCCATTTGTGTATTTATTGAGCTTCATGGTGATTTTTGTGTGTTTTGGTGCTTGCAAATAAAGAAGGAACTTCTTGAAGAGTCAATGCTTGACTTAGAGCTTTTAGATCCAGGCTTTGCTCACCTAGATATAACTTATGGAGGTATAAAGTCTCAACCTTGACAACTCTTTCATGTAGATCTAGCTAGTTGGTTTTGGTTATGGTTTTGGTCCCTTTGTGGTGGTTCTTGTGAGTAGAAGTTACTCCAGAATCTTTGAGCTACATATTTGGACCTTGTTGGGATTATAAAGTCCTAACGTTTGGATCTTCATGAGTATAAACCTTTCATGCATATTTTGGTGGTCTTTTGGTAAAGTTTGGGACTTAGGGTTTTGCTTTGGGTCCCATTAAGTCTTGCTAAGTCATAAAGTCAGGAACTTTATGACTTAAGAAGTCCCTTTGAATAAGATCTGGAAGTTTTAACTAAGGTCTTAAGGTAAAAGCTTGCATCTTGGCCTCTTTATGGAGTTAGAATGCTTGAAATCATGATTGGGTCCTTTTGGCCCATGCAAAGGTGCCAAGTTGACAACTTTATGGGTTAAGTCAATAATATGAAGCTACTTTGAGCATTTGGACGTTGGACTTAAGGTATTAAGTCATTGGTGGAATTTTTGGACATTGACCGGGAACTTCGTGCGTTCGTCTCGGGAACGTCGCGCGTTCGGGTCATCAGTGGACTCTTTGGGCCTTTTACTGTGGACTTGATTATAGGACTTTCTGTTTTGAGCCATGTTCGGACTTATCTGGTTGGATAGCCCAGTTTGGGCTTAAGGAGTTTGGGTTGGGCCTTAGTGGGTCTAACTTGGGTTTGGGCCTTAGTAGGTCCAATTGGTTTGGGCCAATAGTAGGTCGGGTTCGATTGGGCCATCGTTGGGCCTATGTTTTGGGTTTATCCCTGGATATTAAATTAGATCAGTTTGGCTTGGCGCAGTGTGTGGAGCCGGTTCGCAACAGCAGCAAGTGAAGGATTTTGTTATCAGTCGATCAATGTGAGTCTTCTCGCTATATCCATGGGTCGAAGGCACCAGTTCCAACCCATTACGTGTTATGTGGTATGTTAGTTGTCTCTGTGATGCTTGCATGGAATACCATGGGGGAGCCCATGCCATACCAGATAAAGACCATGGGGAAACCCATGACAGCTATATGTATGTTGCATGATAATATGTGGTGGTACGTTGTATGGTATTTTGGGGAACTCACTAAGCTATGTGCTTTCGGTTTTCAGTTTATGTTTCAGGTACTCTGGTTTTCAATTTGGAGAGCTCGAGATGATTGCAGAGCACACAACACATGTTTCCGTATTTTGTGAACTACTCTGACTGAAGATGTGTATCTAAAGCTTGTTTACTTTGGTCTTATGGGAAGGATATGTATTAATGATTTATTAGCCTAAAAACAAAAAAAAAATTATGTCCTGATTTTGGATTGTTACAAGTTGGTATCAGAGACTTAGTCTGAGGGATTCGGACATACTCTCGGGTGTGTCTGAACTCAAACTGAGGATTGGTAAAGTTTTCAAAAGAAAAGTATTTTTAAGAAAAGAGTTTTCTAAGATAAGAGAAGGGTGTGATGCATGCAATCAGTTGAGCTCAAGTAAGTTTTCCTAAAATACCCATACATGTTATCTGTTATGATTTGATTTATGAATCTGTGAATTGCATGCTATTTAGGGCTAAGGATCTGCTCATCTCTTTCATGATAGAATTTTGAGAGAGATGCCTTTGTATGTATATCGTATGAGTTGGTAGACTTGCATGCTAGTGCTGATTAGTTATTGGTAGTTTGGCCTGATATGTGATACCTTGTTGCATTGGGTGTATTAGATGTTATGCTGAGATGGGAATATCTATTGGAATCAGTAATTGCTAAGTGTATGCTTTAAAAATTATATAAAGTTAGGATCTTATAGCTCTAGAATAATTGATTTGGCCTTATTTCATGTTCCTTATCTAATTGTGGTTCTAGGGTAGAGTCTGTTATTCTACAGTCTATTTGATCTTGTTTTGTGTATAATTTGCATGCATAAGGCAACAGGAAGTAAGGATGGAATTTCTAGCATAAGTGGTGGTGTGTGGGTTGAATGTTCTATGATAGTTCTATGGATTGGAGTGTTACTACACGAATGTTGCTTGTTTTGTGCTTTGTGGAACTCTTAGATGGTGGGAGTCAGCTGCTAAGTGAATATGATGGTATTCATGAGGTGGATGACTGGCATTATGGGGATTTCTGCAGCAACTCATGGCAGAGTAAGGTCGGGAACCTGGGTGAGCCTAGGGAATGCTGCAACGATTGTAGTCGCGCTGTTTAGTGAGCTTTGGTGCATCAGTTTGAGAAGGCGACCTAGAGGATTCGGGATGATTCTTGAGGAAAGTATGGATTGGTGTGGAAGGTAGTATTGGACCCGTACTACTGAAAGCATAGGATCTATACTCGAACCGGGAAGAGTTTTGGAGAATTTAAGAAGCCTGTGGAAGAGGATTCTTGGGGATGTTCTGATCATTGGCTTTTGGTCGTTCAGTTTGGTGATGAGCACTCATGGAGGAGGTTCTGGTTCTGGTTCCGGCTCAGGTGCAGGTACTGAGCCGATTAGCGAGCAGATGTGGGATTCATCTTGTTAGAGATTACCCACGGTATTTTGGAGCAGACTCCTGTGATTTTTGGCGCGGTCAAGGAGGGGATCTTGGAGATCTTGGATGAGAGATTGGGCGCGATCCGTGCTGAGGTTATGGTTATTGTTGGAGCTCGCACGCTATCATTCCGTGAGCGGAAGATTGATTTGGAGCACCTGGGAAGGAGGGGGGCGGATCAGGTGCATGTAGGGGAGGGTCCCGGGAAGAGACCCAAGACTTCTAATCAGTGTTTGAGAGGCTAGCAGGGTCGGAGTCAGTTCATCATGTGCGGGAAACTGCACGATGGAGCTTACCATTCCAGAGTGTATGGGTTGTTGTGAGTGTAGCAAGACTGATCTTGTCAGCAGGGATTGTCCTCAGGGGGCAAGCCCGTTATGTTTTCTATGCAACCAAGTGGGCCACAAGAGGGCCATCTGTCTGATGAGTAGGGGAGGAGTAGTGAGTGAACCTGCTCTGGTTACCTTGCAAATCTCTGAGAGTTGTGAGGGTTAGGACAGGAGCCGGTTATTGCAGTGTGAGGGGAGGCCGTGCTCCGGCAGGTGCTTTTGGGGGGATGTTATCTTTTGTGTTCTTTTCGGTTGTTATCAGTTTTCATGTTGCTCGGAGTTTTATATGGATTTGGGTAAGCGTTATATTCAGTTTATTTCTCTTTTATCGTTGGTTTATATCTTCGAGAATTGTTCTATGTCTTTTGCATGCCATGAATCATTAGTGGGTTATTGAGGGGTTGTATCTCGTGTAACGGGTTCCAATGTGTTCAGTTATTATTTTGGTTTTGGTCGAGGTCGGTTCAAGGGTTTTTGTGGAAGGTCTATGGTTGGGATTCAACAAGTTGGTTCTCCAGTCTTCGTCAGGGTTCAGCGGTTTTAGTATTTGTTTCGGTAAGAGTGGCAGTTGCCTATGGGAGAACTGTTGGGTTCAAGTACTGTCGTTGCTATGAGGAGAGCGGTACCAGGAAGATGGTAGTGTCAACTGCATGAGTTGTTTTGATCATTGGAAATGTCAGGGGATTTTTATATTCGCATGGGTAGTAGTCAGTTAGAATTCAATAATTCTTTGAGAATGGAATTTGGGATAAAGATTCGCGGCTCAGGGCAAGGGTT